CCCCAAGTTGGAAGAGAGAAACTCACAACCAACTTGCTGAGTAAATTGTAGTGTTTCACCCTTGTGAGGGCTTAGTGAAGATATCAGCCAGCTGTTCATTCGTGGAAATGTGGTGCAGTGTAATGAGCTCCTCGTGTACTTGATCTCTCACAAAATGGCAATCCACCTCTATATGTTTTGTGCATTCATGGAACAAAGGATTGTGGCTATATGCAGTGCTGCTTGACTGTCACAGGAAATGTCAAGGGGGCTGTCAATTCTGCTAGTAACCTCAGTAACCATACTAATTCTCCCACAACCTGTCTGGCAGCTCTATATTCTGCTTCTGTTGAGGACAATGAGATAGTGTGTTGCTTCTTTGATTTCCAATTGATAGGTCCATCACCTAGCAATTCAACATAACCACTAACTGACTTTCTTGAGTTAGGGCAAGCTGCCCAATCTGAATCACAAAAGGCTCGAACTCTGTAATCTTTATTGTTGGATAAAAAGATCCCTAGATTCGGATCACCTTTGAGATATCTCAGCACATGATATGCAACCTTCAAGTGAGGCTCCCTAGGACTTTGCATATACTGAATCAAACGCTGCACACTATAGGATATATCAGGTCTTGTGTTAGTCAGGTAATTCAATTTCCCACCAGTTTTCTGAAGTGTAAAGGATCAGGCAACAAAGACTCTCCTCTGCACTTAGTTTGACTGTGGGATCTAGTGGAGAGGTCAAGGCAGAATACTTCATACAATCAAATTTTGATAGTAAATCCATTGTGAATTTCCTTTGTGATACCCATACTCCATCACTTTTATACAGAATTTCTAGTCCCAGAAAATAATGTAGTCTTCCTAAGTCCTTTATTCTGAAGGTCTTATGTAAGTAGACCTTTAATGCTTCTATTTCTTGCAAATCAGTCCCTATTATCAGGACATCATCTACATAGACAGCCACAAACACTACTGAATCTCCATGCTTTTTTTAAAACAAGGAATAGTTAATAAAGAATGTGTGTATCCCCTGGAACAAAGTGTTTTAGTCAACTTCTCATACCATTGTCTGCTTGCTTGCTTTAATCCATATAAGGACTTGTTCAATTTGCATACTAAGTCTGACCTCTCTACAACAAGACCTGGAGGTAATTCCATGTATACCTCTTCATGAAGATCTCCATGAAGAAATGCATTATTCACATCCAATTGAAAAATGTCCCAGTCTTTCTTTATTGCTATCCCAACTAGAGCCCTAACAGTTGTCATTTTAACTACTGGTGAAAAATTTTCTATGTAGTCTACCCCGACCTCTTGAGTGTATCCCTTCACTGCTAGCCTTGCTTTCAATCTCTATGCTCCCATCTGCCTTGTGCTTCACCTTGTATACCCATTTACATCCTATTGCCCTTTTTCCACTTGGAAGAGGTACAAGACTCCAAGTATGATTGGCATAAAGGGCTTCAAACTCTTGATTCATAGCTGCCTGCCAAACAGGATTAGCAGCTACCTCCTCATATGAACTGGGTTCAGTCTCATAGGAGATAGTTTTGATCAGTTGCTGACTATCAAAATTCAAGACATTGAGTGAGCCATATTGGGCGTTGGGTATGGATACATTGAAGGAAAGAGAGGTGGTTCTTTGGTTATTACTAGAGGGAGAGTCAGGATGATTTGTTTGTAATTTGGGTAGTAAATAGTTGTAATCTTTCAAGTAAGTGGGGACTTTGAGGGTTCTGGATGGCCTTCCTAAATCTTCACTAGATTCATGTATTATTGAGTTAGGAGTATTGTTAGGCAGAGTTTCACGAGTTTCATTGTTATCAGATAAGGAAAATTGTTCTTCTGAACTTGAAGTCACATGAGGGTTAGGTTCTCTTGCCCCTGGTGATGAAGGATCAGTTGACATTGTTGTTAGAGATGTACTAGAAAAAGTAGGAATAGATGTTGACCTATGAGAAGGGAATAGTTCTTGTGCTAATTCTGCATTTACTTGTGGAAATGAAGGAAAGACTCTATCAGAACTAGAGTGAAAAGAAAAAGGAAATACCACCTTCATGAAATACAACATCCCTTGAAACATGAATTTTCTTTGTGACTAGATTGAGTACCTTGTAGCCCTTTGTCCCAAAAGGATATCCCACAAAGACATGAGATAAGGAATAGATTCAAATTTATCTTTGTGAGGTTTTAGGTTTGTAGGAAAGCAGATGCATCCAAAGGTTTTGAGGTGAGAGTATTTGGGTTTTCTTTTGTATAGTAGCTCCAGTGGACATTTATTTTTGAGAGTGGTAGAAGGGAGTATGTTAATCAAGTATGCTGAGGTGAGGATACATTCTCCCCAGTATTGCATGGGGACTTTGGACTGATACAACAGTGCCCTGGCTGTCTCCAAAAGTTACTTGTATTTTCTTTCGACTATGCCATTTTGTTGAGGTGTATAGGGACATGTTTTGTGGTGTATAATTCCCTCAGACTGCAAGAAAGAAGCAATCTCAGAATTTATGAACTCAAGGCCATTATCTGTTCTAATGATCTTAATGGAACAGTTGAATTGGTTTTTCACCATGGTAGAGAAAGCCTTGATTACTTGTAGGGCATTGCTCTTGCAGTTAAGAAGGTATGTCCAAGTGCACCTGCTGTAGTCATCTACTAGGGTGATAAAGTACTTATTCCTATCATGTGTTGGCACATAATAGGTCCCCTACAAGTCTACATATAAGATTTCAAAGATCTTGGTTTTTACTGTAGTTCTTTCTGGGAATGGCAGTCTATTTGTCTAGCCATTGGGCATATTGGACAGATAAAGGACTGTTTGGTGAAAATTGAAAGGGTATTGACTCAATACCTCTCATTTTGGCAAAGGGTATACATCCCAATCTATTGTGCCACAAGAGATTAATCATATATTTATCATTCATAGATGCATTGCAAGTAGGACTAATATTTCCTTCATATTGCACATGAGAATTGGTGACAATCTTATTACATTCAGAAGAGGAAGTGTGTGATCTAGATGTAGTAGGGAAAGAAGAATTATGTAAACTAGATGCAATGTGTGAAACAGAGTGTGGACTAACACTACTGCTACTGGTTATACTAGATGGAGTAGATTGAGTGATTACATTACCATTATTTGATGCACTAGATGAATTATCAAAGACTAGGGAATTAGACTTGCAGAAATCTGAAGTGTTGGACTTACAAGAATCTGATTTGTAGAGATACAGACCATACTTACTTTCACCAATTACCAGAGACCTCTTCAGTGAAGGGGCCTGCAGAAGAATGCAAACAAATTTGGTGAAAGCAATCAAATTGAACTGTCAAGCAATGTACTGAGATTAGGTTGAATTTGAAACTGGAACAAAGAGAACTCTTTTCAGAGTGAACTTAGGGCTCATTACTATATCTCCCATCAATGTCACCTTCACCTTATAACCATTAGGTAAAGTAACCAGGAAAGGGTAAACTAAGGTTTTCACATTGATTAATATGGATCTATTATAGGTCATATGGTTTAATGCCCCAGAGTCAAGTATCCAAGAATCAGTAACAGACCTAGAACATTCATATGAGTTAGAACCCGAATCAAAATGAGTTGAATAAGCTGAGATACCTGCAAAATTCACAGCTCATGCTTTCATTTCATTTCCTGCATTTCCAGCATGAAAGTTCTACAGGATGCTCACTAGCTGATTATATTGTTCCTTAGTAAGATTCTGCATAGTTTTGTCTTATTCATGTGCATGTCCATTGTTTCCATGTCCACTTTCAATGACATTCTCTCCTTGAGTTCCATGTACATTGGCAACAATTCTCTTTCCCTTGTTAAACCTTGAATCTTGAGGATAACCATGCAACTTGTAGCATCTTTCCTTAGTGTGACCTGACTTCTTACTATAGTCACAAAAAGGTCGTGGCCTATTCCCAAAGTGTCCTCCCCTGTAGTTGTTGTTTCCAATTCTGTTTCCCTATTGATTGTAGTTCATATATCCAGTGTTGTCTGCAACGTTTGTCTGTTGACCAAAGTTTGTCCTAAAGTGATTTCCTCCTGATCTCTTAGCACTCAAGGCAGTAGATTCAATCACCAATTGATTGTTTGTCTTGACCTCTCTTTATTTCTCCTCTTGGATGAGAATTGAAAAAGCTTGTGCGAGTGAGGGTAATGGATTCATCATTAAAATACTTCTCTTGACTATAGTGTAGACTTCGTTTAGTCTTATTAAAAATTGAATCAGCCTTCTATCTTGCTCAGCTTTCTGCATGTTCGCCTTAGCACCACATGTGCAATTGCATTTGCATTGAGTGTGTGTATTCAATGTGTTTAGTTCTTCCCAAAATTTCTTCATTTTAGTATAGTACATAGTGATGTCTAGGGTTCCTTGACTCAAATCATTTATCTCCCTCTGCAATTGATACAATTTTCCCCATTTGTTTGTTGATCATATCTGTTTTCAAGTTCTTTCCAAAATTCTTGAGCATCATTAACATACTGTAGACTATCCGCCAAGTCTTTTGAGATAGAATTTAGGATCCACGATGTGACCATGTCATCGCAATGTTCCCATTGATCATAGCTAGGATCCTGTGGATCTAGCTTTCTGCACTTCCCGTTTATGAATCCTACTTTATTCTTCACTGAGAGAGCTCTTAGAACTCCTCTTCTCCACGATCTATATCCTGATCCGTCGAAAAGTCCCGGTACAAGCATAGAACCAACGCTTTCAGATGGATGCATGTAGAGCGGATTTGTCGAATCCAAGGCCGGATTTGTCGAATCCATTGTGTTTTCATCAAGAGCCATAATTATCAAGGATCGATTTGAAAGGAAAAGTTGGAATTTTTTTTATATTCGTACATAAACACTCCGTAGGGATACGCTTCCAACAGGAAGGAAAATTGACCAACTGAGTTTAAGATCGAGAGTCTCGCTCTGATACCATGACAAAGCAGTAGAGGAAATGAAGAGGATGAGCTCACCTCGAGTGAGCTCTAATGGCGATCGAGAGATGCCATAGACAAGGGACTTCTGGCAGCTTATTTTCTATTTCACTAAAGAATGAGCTTGGCTCAAAATGTAAAATGATACATGAGAAAAATGAATACAGTACAGTATTTATACTATGTACACCTACTACATACACCTACAACTGTACATAACTACCAACTCACTTGTACAACTAATAAATATACACACATGTGTCAATAATAAGCAAATCATATAATTGCAAATTTAACAGTATGGAGACACATTAGCCGATAATTCAATGAGAATTCATTTTTTCACTCTTTTAGATATATACCGCTTACAAAAAATTTTGGTATTCCACTGCGAAGTTGAACTCGAACTCCACATCTTCTCGATTATGGTGGACAACAGTTTCAAGTATTTCAACTTAATTTTGTCTTTGTATTGTTAAGAATTTTAAGTAGGAGTAGAAAGGTTAAAGTATAATTCAAACAACTTATGTTTGTAAGTGACCTATTTTTTGTTGTTTCATCAATATGTTAATTTATAGCCCTGCCTCTTTTAATCTTTTTAAGAGGAACTTCTCGACAACTACTACGAGTAGAAGCTAATGCATAAAACAACTGGGCAAGAACAGAAAAGAAAACGCACTATTTGCTATTTTTTTTATAAAAAAAAATCTAATAGTACATTTTAAAAAAAACAACTATTTGCTAATACTAAATTACTAATATACAATGCTGTCAAACTCCACAATCAACATCAGTGACCGAGTGGATTACCTTTTTAGCTTCTTATTCTTATGCTCGACGGTGGCTTGACTTTTTGGCTCTTTTTCTTCTTCTTTTCTTTTCTTTTAATGTTTTGCTGACATGATATACAATTTTCTTCATTTTTCGTGCATGTTTTTTTCCCCGCAAAAAGTTAACTTTTATTTAATGATACTGTAAAGTTTATTTTAACATACATATCATTTACAAGGTTATTACATATAACTGCTGATCATAATAAATTAAATAAGTAACCTGGAAATAATGTAAGTAAGCTTCTTCACCATATTTAAATACGTTCTCATATTATAAGAAATTTATTATTTTGTCACCGAATATAAATTATAAATCATCATAGAAGTAATATATGTATTAAAGTATTATTATTATTATTTTATTATCAATAATTACAAAGCTATATATTCTATCTTCACATGTTACTTGTGCTTTTTTGGGAGCCCCTTTTATCGCTTGGTTTTAAAAACAACTTTTTAGTAGTTTTTGAAGTCAAAAGAAGAAAGCCAGGTAGGATATATGGGATCCTTGTCAGCAAATATAGAAATTTTCTGTTTCAAGACAAACATGTAGGGCTGTTAATTTACTACCTCGCTAAATTGCATAAGAAAACTCTTTTATATCAATTTTTTCATTTAAAACGGAAAATGAAAATCACAAAGTTGAAGTGCTAACATATTGGATTTATATATATTCCGAGATGAACCCATACACACTACAACAAAAATCTTTCATCTTGAGATAAATATTCACAATGTTTGTGCATGTAATTTAACATGTTATAATTGCAGGCTATTTATCATTTTTCTAGATTATCATATTGAGTTTGTTATAAAAAAAATTATATACCTATTAAATTGTAGATCAACTTAACCTAATAAGGTAAAAATACTTTGTATGTATTGTTAGTGCATACAATATATTTAAACTCAAAGCTCTTCCTTAACTCTTCCATTAACTTCCTACGTTAAACTCTTGTGTAGGTACAATGAGGGGTGGAGCTCGGTGAACGGAAGAGGATTGAATCCACTTTGTCGAAACTTACATTGTGTATATAAGGTTAAATCTTTATATATATATATATNTTTCGTGAAAATCCTGCTTTCGTTATCGGGTAAAATTGCCTCATCAACCCCTTAATTTTAATATTATAAATTTTTTCATGCATATACTCTTGCAAATTGCAATGTGTACTCTCTCTTTTTCTTTTTTGCTTTTCTTATAATGAAATATATGCTTTTTTTTCTTTTTAATCAAGAAGATGCATGTTAAATGCATGTGTATGACTTGGAATGGGGTATTTATGATAAGGATTTAGGTAGGGGTAGCCGATAAATGAGTGGCAAGTCTACGTGTATTTTATCCAAGTAAAGAAGTTATGCTTTTATGCATTGCCTATAGACACAGAAATATCAAAACACAAAAAGGAGACACCTAAAGTTGTTTTCCAAAAGTGATCAACTTGGACGTGCTTTCATTTCTCTTCGAATCAAAGTATCGATTTTATTCTCTAACGATATCTACCGGGAATTAACCAAAAAAAAAAAAAAAAGTGGACTTTCGATGATACGTTAAGTTAGACAAAAGATATTCTTCACAATATGGTGTGGTATTATCATATTTGAATTAAACTCGCACAATTTCTTAAAAGACATCATATGGTTAAGTATATATTAAAATAGTGAGAAGATTAAGTAGTAAGTTATATCCGTTAATTAACACTGTTGATAGTCGGTTAGTGAGTGGCACATGAAGTGGACGTGATCAGAGGCGGATCTAGGATTAAATTCTATGGGTTCAATTTTAATGTTTTTAACATTGAAACCATTATATTTTTAAAGTTATGGTTTCATATCTATTATTTTTGCAATTTTTGCATATAAATTTTTACTCTGTGTCAAAAGTTATGGGTTCAATTGAACCCGTAGACAGTACACTACATCCGCCTCTGCATCTGATCCGACCAAATGTAGCTGTATAAAAGTCTCTGTCTTGTGCATTTTGTGTAATGAAAATTAGATATTCTTCCTCTCAGTTTCTCCTCTAGATTCCAGAATATTCCTCTTCGTAGATGAACCCTAGCTCTTCCATTTCTGTCAATTGAGCTGAGATTCACAAAGTTCAACCTCAATTTAATATGGTATCAGAGAGGCGACCGTGAGGTGTGAACTCCGGTGTAAAGCTCCTACCGAATAAGAACAAATTCAAGCTCGGGAGGCAGACATGACAGAAAATGAAGTGGCCTCACTTGATCACAATCATCCACTATACCTTCAAGCTAGAGATACTTTGGGGCTAGTTTTAATTCCAATTAAGCTCATAGGGCCAGAAAATTATGCCCTGTGGAGCTGAGCAATGAAATTGGCCTCGCGAGCAGCGGGCAAACTAGGTTTTTTGTGGATGGATCGTGTGTAAAGGCTAGGTACATAGGGGAATTGGTTGAGCAATGGAAAAAATGCAATGCAATAGTGTTGTCATGGATAGGAAGTACAGTTTCAAATGAATCAATGCCAAGTATTGTCTATGCGTCAGATGCGAGGAAAGTATGCAACGATTTCCAAGAGAGATTTTATCGCTCAAACTTGACGAGAATTTATCACCTCTGGGCTGAAATAGCAATAATGAGGCAAGGAACGAACACAGTAACAAGTTACTACACTAAGATGAAGGATCTGTGGGGTGATTTGGATGTGTTGGCTCCTTTATCATACTGTGATTGTGAGGAAGCGAGGCCATCTATTGAACTCTTGAAGTCGCAACGTTTTCTATAATTCCTTATAGGATTGAATGAAAGTTACAACAACGTAAGAAGCAACATACTTGAAGGAAGCCAGTGGTGACAGTAAATGAAGCTTATGCAATTGTCACACAGGAAAAGTGTGAGAGGTAGCTTGGTGCTGTGGACACCACAAGGGTTCAAACCAAGAAAAACACAAGGGTTCAAACCAAGAAGACCAGGCATGATATGTGAATACTGTAGTTATAAAGGTCATTTGAAGAAAAAATGCTATAAGATTGTAGGTCACCCCCAAACTTCAAAAGTAAGAAGAAAAATGGTCAATTTGGTGGAACTCTTGGGCAGTCTAGTAGCAGAACACAGACAGGAGGAGGTTATAAGGCTTGCATCAACAATGTAGCAGGTGAGAATTAGATGCAGGGGCATTTTTTTTTACTGACGAAGAGTATTCACAACTCATGAGCTTGATTAATAATAATAGGCTATAATTACATATCTTAGTTGCTTATTACATTCTAATTTAGTTTACTTTAATTGAGTTTGAGCTTTAATCGCTAGTGTTTTGCACTAATTGTGTGTTTTATACCTTGTAGGAGTGATTTCGAGCTATGTAGATGTTATAGAATGAATTCAAGTGATTTGGAGCTTTGAAGTCTGAGTAAAATCCCAAAGAATTAAGTCGGGATCGTATTCGGAGATCAATGGATGATAGTTAAGAACGAACGAAGAATCAAGTAGGTATATTGCGCACTGTCTAGTAAAATGCACATAACTTTTCTCTAAAAACTCCATTTGGACTGGACAATATATGGTTGGAAATATCATTCAAAAGTCTACAAATTTTATGTTTTAAGTGTTTCCAAATTCTCAACAGAACAGGGTGAAAAGTGTACGACAAGTGTGCGGCCGCGCAAATGGGGCAGAATTGTGAAATATGTGCGGCCAAGTGTGCGGGCGCCCTTCCAGTTGCGCGGCCACGCATGTACTGTCCGGGAAAAGTGTCCTTTTTCGCATAGGAGAAGGTGTAATTATTTGGGCCTGACTACTTGGTATATATACATGAAAAACGGTATTTTGAGGACTTTTGACACACTTTGGATCTAAGGAGGCAAGAACACACTAGGAACAAGGCGGAGAATTCTTCCACGAGTTTTTCACTTCCTTCTTCCTATTTCCATTATTGGTTATGAATTCTAGTATTGTAGTTATGCATACTATTATGAATAACTAATTTGTTATCTAGAATTTTGATAGAAACTTTTGTAGGATAAATTCTTGTTATGTTTTAATATAATTTAGCCTTTGAATTTATC